TGCACAATTCCCTCTGGGATACCACCATCTCCTACACAGGGTGTGCGGCCCAAGTATTTTTTTTTTGTCTTTTTCATTTCAGCAGAGTATTTCCTCCTGACCATCATGTGCTACAACCGCTACGTGTCCATCTGCAAACCCCTGCACTACGGGACCCTCCTGGGCAGCAGAGCTTGTGCCCACATAGCAGCAGCTGCCTGGGCCAGTGCCTTTCTCAATGCTCTCATGCACACAGCCAATACATTTTCCCTGCCCCTATGCCATGGCAATGCCCTGGGCCACTTCTTCTGTGAAATCCCCCAGATCCTCAAACTCTCCTGCTCCCAATCCTATGTCAGAGAACTTGGGCTCATTGCAGTTAGTGCCTGTTTGGTATTTGGCTGTTTTGTGTTCATTGTTTTTTCCTATGTGCAGATGTTCAGGGCTGTGATGAGGATCCCCTCTGAGCAGGGACGGCACAAAGCCTTTTCCACCTGCCTCCCTCACCTGGCAGTGGTGTCCTTGTTTAGCAGCACTTCCCTATTTGCCCACCTGAAGCCCCCCTCCATGTCCTCCCCATCCCTGGATGTGGCCCTGTCAGTTCTGTACTCGGTGGTGCCTCCAGCCCTGAACCCCCTCATCTACAGCCTGAGGAACCAGGAGCTCAAGGCTGCAGTGAGAAGATTGATGGCTGAATGATTTCTGGAATGTTAAAATGCTGGCAATTTCTACAAATCAATTGTAGTATAAATCATCTTTTCTATTTCTTCTTGGTTTAATTTCTGAGGTTCTTTATGTTTGTTTTGCTTTTTTAATCTTGTCCATTAAGGAATGTCATTTTTTATGCAATTTCTCATTTTGTTTCTCTTCACATTCCCTGTTGCCACAGACTGTGCCAATGAGGGGCTGTGTTCTCGATGGCTTTAAATGAAATAAAAGATCTCTCCCAGCAGAGTTTGCTGCAGAGATGCCCTTTTGATGTCCTTTTGATGTCCTTTTCTCTGGAGCTGCAGCAGCAATGTCTGTGTGCAGAGCTGGGGGCAGATCAGTGCTGGCACAACTGCCCTGCTCCTGCTGGCCACACCATTCCTGATCCAGGCCAGGAGCCATTGGCCTTTTCGGCCACCTGGGCAGACTGCTGCCTCATGTCCAGCCTGCTGTCCATCAGTCCCTGCAGGTCCCTTTCTGCCTGGCTGCTCTCCAGCCACTCTGTCCCCAGCCTGTGGTGCTGCAGGGGTTGTTGTGGCCAATGTGCAGAACCCAGCACTGGGTCTTGTTAAACCTCACCTTGCTGGATTTGTTCCCTGGATCCAGCCTGTCCAGGGCCCTGTGCAGAGCCCTCCTACCCTCCTGCTGACCCACACTCCCTGTTTCCATGAGGCCCCAGAGTGTCCCAATGGTCTCTACGATTCCATGAGGCCTCCCAGTGTCACAATTCCCTTTGGTTCCATTGACCCCTTGGTTTCAGAAAGTCTCTTGGATTCTTGGGCCCTGCAGTGTCACAATGAATCCCTGGTTCCATGAGGTCTGGCAGTGCAGCAATGCTCTCTGTGGTTCCACAGTGTCACAATGGCCTCTTGGTCCCAAGGGCCACCACGGTGTCAAACATGTTTCCTTCATTCCATGACTCCCTGAGGAGCAGCACAGGCCCCTTGGTTCCATCGAGCCCTGCAGTGTCACAATGGCCGCATCATGACACCAGGTCCTGCTCTGTCACAATGCTGTGCATGGTTCCACAAGGCCCTGCAGGGTCACAGTCGCCTCTTGGCTCCATGAGGCCTCAGAGAGCCATAAGGAATTCCTTGGTGCTGCAGTGTCACAGTGGAGCCCTGGTGACACAAGATCCTGCATTGTCACTAGGGAGCCTTGGTTCCATGGGGCACCACAGTGTCATAATTGTTCCCTCAGTTCCCAGAGTCCTTGCATTGGAGCAATGGCCCCTTGATCCCATTGGCCCCAGGCTCTTCCAAGAGTCTCCTTGGTTCCGCAGTGGCACAATGGCCCCTTGGTTCAAAAAGGCCCCACAGTGTCGCAGTGGCCTCTGTGGTTCCACCAGGACCCAGACTGTCACAATGGACTCCTTGCTTCCCTCCAGCCCCACAGTGTCACAGTGGCCCCTTGGCTCTGTGGTGCCATGTCGTACACAGTGTCACCATGGTCCTCTTAGTGCCACCAGGCCCCGCAGTGTCAAAATGGCCCCTTGCTTCCACAGGGCCCTGCAGTGTCACAATCATCAGAGAATCAACCAGGCTGGAAAAGACCTTGGAGAGCATCAAGTGCAACCTGGGACCCAACACCACCTTGTCAGCCAGACCATGGCACTGAGGGCCACGTCCAGACTTTCTTCTTTCCTTAAACACCTCCAGGGACCACTTTCTTTAAAAACCTTCAAGGACGGTGCCTCACCCACCTCCCTGGGCAGCCCATTCCAATGCCCTGTCAACATTTTTGAGAAGAATATTTCCTAATTTACAGCCTAAACAACTCCTGGTGTAGCTGAAGGCTGTGTCCTCTTGTCCTGTCCCTGTTCCTTGGGAAAAGAGCCAGACCCCCATCTGGCTGCACCCTCCTGTCAGGGAGTTGTAGAGAGTGATAAGGTCTGCCTTGGGCCTCCTCTTCTCCAGGATAAACAACTGCAACTCCCTCAGCCACTCCTGACAGGACTTGTGCTCCAGACCCCTCCCGAGCCCTGTTGCCCTTCTCTGGACAAGCTCCAGCCCCTCCATGTCCTTCCTAAATTCAGGGGCCCAGAACTGGACACAGCACTCCAGGTGCTGCCCAACCAGTGCCCAGCACAGGGGAAGAATCCCTGCCCTGCTCCTGCTGGCCACACCATTCCTGATCCATAGGAGTGCCAGGGGTTGGAGAGGGAAATGGTGGGGAGAAGGGGGGGGACAAAGTGTTACTGATTGTCACACATGAAGGGTCTTAATTTTCATATCTATTCAGACTGCATTAGGAGGTGATGGAGATGAATATCAATTGGACATTGCTGATACCAAACTGTGATAAGGAAAAGAAAACAGGACAAAACTCTTAATATCTGCATTGTTTTCAATACAGTATATTGACTTTAAACACACTTCTGAAATCTGACTAATTAACCACAGAACTGAAGACTTTGATTATCCCCAGGAGCTTTTCTTGTTTGGGTATTCTGAACAAATATTTATGAGCTTTTCTCACTGAATTTCTGAACGGAAGAGCTCAGCAAAGTAGAGGCATCTGGAGTAGCAAAATTCATCAGCAGCCTCCACGTGGCTGAGGATCCATCCCCATGAGAGCAGCAAAGAACAGAGATGAGCAGAGATTTGTGGCTGCCCCAGGTTTGAGATGGGCCCTGGGCCTGGAGCAGGAGCAGCTCTTGAGGGCCCCAAGGCCGGGGCTCTTGTGCTGCCCTGTACATGAGAAGAGACCTTCGACATGCCAAGGGCAGTTGGACCAGTCAGGCCAAGCCAACCAGACCTGGTACCTGTTCCCTTGGATTCATGGGGCTCAGCTGTGTTTCACTGGCCCCTTGTTTCCATGGGGCCCTGCAGTGTCACAATAGTAGTGTCACAAGTTGGATTCTTGGTTCTATGAGGCCCAGATATGTCACAGTGACCTCTTGTTTCCATGGGGCTCCATGGTGTCACAATAGTCCATTGCTTCCATGGCACCTTGCAGTGTCACAGGGGTCTCCTTGGTACCACAGGGTCACAGTGGACCCTTGGTGCCATAGGGACTCACAGTGTCAGAAGGGTCTCCTTGGTTTCATCAGGACCTGCAGAGCCCCTTGATTCAACAAGGCCTCAAAGTGTCACAATGGCCTCCAGGATTCCATGAGGCCCTGCAATGTCACAATGGACCTTTGGTTCCATGGGGTCCCACCCTGTCACATGAATCCTTAGTTCCATGGGGCCCTATAGTGTCACAAGGGCTCCATGGTGCCACACAGTGTGATAACTGCGCCTGGGCCTGCCAATACCCCCGAGTGCCACAATGGTTCCTTGCTTCCATGAGGCCTTGGAGTGTCACAATGGCCCCGTGGTTCAGTGAGGCCTTTGGTGGCACAATAGTCTCCATAATTCCATAAGGCCTTGCAGTGTCACAACAGACCACTGGCTTCACTGACCCCACAGTGTCACTGTGGTCCCTTTGGCTCCACAGGGCTCTGGAGTGCCACAAAGGCCCTTTGGTTTCACAAGGCCGCAAAGTGTAAAAATGGCCTCCATGGTTTCATGCTGTGTCACAATGGACCTTTGGTTCCGTGATGCCCCAGAGTGTCACAATGGTATCCTTGGCTCCACTGGACCCTTCATCCCATGGAGACCCACAGTGTTCACTGTAGTCCCCTTGATTCCATGAGGCCCTGCCATGCTATAACGACCCCTTGGTTCCAGGGGGTCCTAAAGTGTCAGAATTGTCTGCACTGTTCCATGAGACCCTGCAAGGCCACTGTTGTTCCCTTGGTTCCACAGGGCCCCACAGTGTAACAATGGACTCTTGGTTCCATGAGGTTCCTCAGTCACAATGGTGTCCTTGGATTCACAGTGTCACACTGGCCCCTTGGCTCCATGTGGCCATGCTGTGTCACAATGGCTCATGGTTCCATGAGGCCACACAGTTTAACAATGGACGCTTGATTCAACAAGGCCTTGCTGTGTCACAATGGATTTCTGGTTCCATGAGCTTTCACACTGCCAACAGCAGTCTCCTTGGTTCTGCAGTGTCACCATGGACCCTTTGTTCCATGAGGTTCTGTAGTATAACACGGTCACCTTGGTTCAGTGAGATTCTACAGTGTCACAATGGACCCTTGGTTCCACGAGGCCTTGCTGTTTCACAATGGCCCCTTGGTTCCAAGAGGTTTCTCAGGGTCACAATGGTCCCCTGGGATCCGCAATATCACAATGGACCATAGGTTCAATGTGGCCCCAGTGTGCCAAAATGGATTTTTGTTCCATGGGGTTCCACTGTGTTGCAATGGACCCTTTCTTCCATGAGTTTGCAGAGTGTCACAGCTGACTCCTTGGTCCTGTGAGGCCTCGCTGTCACCAAATCTCTGAAATATCAGAATAAGACTCCTTAGCACTAATTTTCTATTTAAGAGAGGATCATTTTTTGAGGCCTGAGATCTAGTGAGGGATAACTCCTAACCTTTTGTGGACATGTAATTCTACAAGGGTGTTGCTTATATACAGTCAATAAATGTCTACTACAATTTACCCATCACCATAAAATCCACATCAAGTTCCCAGATTCAGTCCTTGCATTTTCTATCACTGCATTCTTGAGCCAGATGTCTTCTCCTATTCCAACCATCCTTGCTGGGAAAGCAGGCCCTGCATGCCTTGCTCCTGTGCTAAAAGTACACAGTCATGGTAAAAATTAAATTAACCCTTTT